GTGTGGTGTGTGGTGTTTCAGACAGAAGGAGAGAACGATAGACTCTATACTAAGGTTTTGATACAAAAGATGTAAGTAAACAGACAGTAGATTGGTGGAAACAAATTTGTAGGGTTTTTTAATGATTTTTTTTTTTTTTTTCCAGAACAGGTTTCGCCCCATGTGCTCAGGACTTGTCTCAACTCTGAGCCAAGCATATACTCCCTCCTGGCCTCCCAAAGATGCTGGAAATTAACACAGGTGTGGACCACCTGCACCTGACCCAAGAAGCAAACCATGAACTTTCCTACACACGTCTAAAATTCACTGACCATTTCAAACATCACACACAGACTTTGTCTTACTAGGAGCTTCCACAGACCGCAAAACTTCTCCTTCTGTTCCCCCAGGCACCCCTGTAGCCAGGGTAGTAGAATTTCATATGCCCCCAGGGCCCAGGCCAGTCACTAGCAGCCCACCTGGGGGTCAGGTGGGCCCACCCCCACACCACACCCCCTGAGACAACTGCTGCATAGTGAGGACTGGTGGTGAACCAGTCCTCTAATGGAGACCAGCGGCTACCCCACCTGATTATTGCTATATCTTCCAATTTCAAGGCACCATACATGCATATTTTAAAGTCTTTCAATATTTAATTTTTTTTTTAATGTAGTGAACAGGGTCCCCATCAATGTGTCCAGGTTGGTCTTGAACCCCTGGACCCAAGTGGATCACAACCCTCAGCTCCCAAAGTGCTGGGATTGATAGGCCCAGATGACGAGCCACATCTAGCATATTAAATGTTGATTCAACTATTCTTTTTTTATTTTTTTTTTTGAGACGGAGTCTTGCTTGCGGTGGCCGATCTCAGACTCACTGCAAACTCCGCCATCCCAGGTTTAGGGCCCATTCTTACCTGCTTCAGCCTCCCGAGTACCCCCGGGACTACAGGCACCCGCCACCTCGCCCAGCCTAGTTTTTTGGGTATTTTTAAGTAGAGTACGGATTTCACTGTGTTAGCCAGAGGCTCCGATCTCCTCAACCCTCATGACCCTCCTTCTCGAGCCATCAAAGTGGCTGGGGATTACAGGCTTGAGCCACCGCTGCCCGGCCCTATTCCAAATTCTTGAAAAGCAGTACAAAGGAAAACAACCAAACACAGCTGACCCAAGCTATCTTGGCATGCCCTGCTCTGAACAGACCTACCTTTCTGTCCAACAACACCCTACTGCATTCCTGCACCAACTAACTTGAGGCCAAACTCCTTGTGCCAGGGATTCCAAAAAAAAAAAAATCCCTGTTAAGTTATTAGGTCAGAAAAGTCTTGAGCCTATCCTTTTGGTAAAATCTCCTACCACCTGAACTCTGCCTTATTTATTCTTCCGTTCAAAGTCCAATAGCCAAAATCTCTCGGGCATTTTTCCTAACACAAAAGGACATTACTAACTTACAAGGGAACTCAGTCTTCTTTATCGCCACGTTGTTCAATGGCAACCAGCTTTGAAAAAGGGGATGAAAGTTTTTTTCCCTTCTCCATTATAGGAAGCAAGCTCCCTCTTCACCCTTTTCTTCGTGGTATACATTACATATTACTGCTGAGGCGCCAGGTGCAGTGGCTCCCAACAGCCTGTATCCCGCACTTGAGAGGCCGAGGCAGGCCAGATCACCTGAGGTCAGGAATTCAGACCAGCCTGGCCAAATATGGTAAAAACCCGTTCCTACTAAATATCAGAAATATTAGCGGGGCACGGTGGCACGTGCCTGCACGTTCATTCAGAGCTGAGCAAAGATTACTGAACCTGGGAGGCAGAGTTGCAGATCACACACAACACACAACCACACCCAGTGACACACACACAACTCAAAAAAAGAAAAAAAATATACTGGCTGAGAATCAACTCTGATACACAAACATATAAGCAAAACACAGATTATAAAGCTGGACGATACCCTTGAGATTACCGCCATGGTGGCAGGCGCCTGTAATCCCAGATACTCAGGAGGCTGAGGCAGGAGAATTGCTTGAACCTGGGAGGCGGAGGTTGTAGTGAGCCGAGATTATGCCATTGCACGTTAGCCTGGGTGACAAGAGCAAGAGCAAGACTCTGTCTCAAAAAAAAAAAAAAAAAAGCCAGTGCCCTTATACAAAGGCTGTAATGTAAAAAAGCCCATCAAGAGTTTTGCCTAGGCCTTTCCTAGGCCTTAAAGCATGATAAAATAACAAAGGAATTCTTAACAGGAGCCATTTAAGATTAAACAAGTTTTATTGGGGGTCTGAAGAAACTCCCCAGGCCTCCACAAACAAGTTTATTGGAGGTCTGAAAGAACTGCCTAAACCTCCATGATTTAGCAGGAGACAAAATAAGGGTAATCACCCCAGCACCTAGACCCATTTAGATTAAGTAAGCTTACTGAGGCTCTAGAAGAAAGTCTTCAGGACTCAGACCTTAGTTACAGATTAAAAGGAGTTAATCACTATGTCTTTAAATGAATGCACACTTACACATAGACATATAGCTTAGAAGGTGTATAAGCTCTGAAAAACTTTGTAATTTTGAGTTGGTCTGGCAATAATTTCCAGGCCTTCTCCCTGTACCAGTTACAGAAATGAAAACTCTCTTCCTCCCCAGTTCATCTGCATCTCGTTATTGGACCATGAGAAATAGCAGCCCAACCCTGTTTGGTCCGGGAACAATTTCACACATGAAGAAAATGAAATTACAAAAGTACCATGAGAAAGAAAGAAGAGATTTGAATTTTAGTTTCTGGAATCTTCATTCAGTGTCATCCATCGGATTTTACTGACACTTTCAAACTAAGAGTCAGCAACTTACGTTTTATTGTTGTAGGGTTTATTCTGACAGATCTCTGGGGACAGGTAGTAAGGTGTTCCAATACAAGTTCGAGCAAGTTCCATGGAACTAGTAAATTATATTAAATAATAAATCAGCATGAATTTTTATTGGAGTAAGAAAAGTCTCAAGACATGGACATGCAAGAAAAAATGTGAAAATGGATAACACAAGATTTGATGCATACATGTGTTAGAAGAAAGCAAAACACTGTATGTTGACAGAGTAACTAAATCAGCTGATTTTTAAACTTACAATTCACCTTCCAAAAATTTACACATCAAAATATATTTTTTATGGCTTAAAGACTCCACAAAGAGATGAAATTGTCACGTTATAAAAATCTCTCAGATGTAGAGATTATCAGATCGCAACTTCATGATTTAAAACTTGGAAAATACAAAAATGAATAAGGGAGAAAAAAGTTACCCAGAATCTTAGCACCTAAAACAACTATTGTTAAAATTCTGATATATTTCCTTCCTGTCTTTTTTCCACACATATTTTTCATGTAACTGTGATCACAATGAATTTAAAATTCAGAATTCCATTTTCTTTATGTAGTATAACAAAGTTATCAAGAAGTCTTCAAAACCGTAAATGTTTATGATATATTCAGGTACATGGTCATGCCAAGCTTTATTAAATTTAACCATTTCCTAATTATTTAGGCACTTACATTATTCCAAATTTCAAATTATTCCCTTGGAACAAATTCTCAGAAATAGAATATTTAAAAATCTCTTGATATATATTGCCACCAAATTGTCTTCCAAACAGGTGCACCAGTTTATTCTGCTAGAAAGTGTGTAAACCAAAAATAAAATTCTGAGCCCCCCAACCAACTCATAAACCCTCCCTTTGGCCAAGGACATTCCAAAGTTAACCTGAAAAACCAGTTCAGGCCATGATGGGGAGCAAGGTTGGACATGCCTCATTATTTCCTCCTCCCCTTTGGAATTCAGGCACAGCTGACCGGCATTAACACTAAAACAGAGCCATAAAAAATATATTTTAATGTGTAAATTTTTGGAAGGTGAATTGTAAGTTTAAAACTGACAAAGCAGACTGTTTGTAGCAATAAGATACCAAAGTCCACCCTGACTCTAGTATAACATCACATGACAGATAGCAGGCCTGAAAGAAATCAAAATATTTTACCCCACATCATGTTTCTTTGTCCATATATTGAAATAGTCCTGCAAAGGTATCTCTTGTGGGGAAACTCTACATTCTGAAGAAAACTCCCTTCTTTTTCCAAGTCTTTTTCCTGATCCAGGAAAAAATTAACTAAGAGTCTGGCACCTTTTAAAATCTGATAAGAAACATTTACAGTCTATTCTCTCCAAGGCCTGCTACTTGGAGATTTCATCTGCATAATAAAAACCTTCATTTCCACAACCCCTTACATTAACCCAGACACTCCCTTCCATTAATTCCAGGTCTTTAGATAGACTCTTTCAACCAACTGCCAATCAGAAAAGTTTTTAATCCACCTATGACCTGGAAGCTCCTTCCCACGCCTCCCAGCTTTGAGTTGTCCTGCTTTTCTGGACCAAACCCATGTACATCCTATTGGTGTCTTGTGTCTCCCTAAAATGTGCAAAACCAAGTTGTAGACCGGCCACTTTGGGTACATGTTCTTAGGATCTCCTGAGGGCTATGTCACAGGCATGGGCCTTTGGTCACCCGTATTTGGCTCAGAATAAATCTCTTCAAATATTTTACAGAGTTTGACTTTTTTCATTAAGAAGTGTAAACCTGCCTATTTCACTAAATTCTCTCTAGCTTTATGCGTATTACAGTCACATTCATATTTGATAAACTGGAATTACACTACAGAACATTAGCAACATCATTCTATTACACCACAATTTACCTTGAGAATTTTAATCTCAAAGTACCATCTGATTTAATGCATGTACATAAAGCTATCTAAAATTATTTAGACAACCAAGATTTTAATATCTTCTTAATCCATGATACCTAAAAATACATATTTGGGCTATTTTGAATAGAAAGAAAAATTATTTTCAAAGTACTTACTTATTCAGGACTCTTGCTATACCAAAGTCCCCAAGCTTTGCAACCATTCCATTCTTGCTAAGAAAAATGTTCTATAAATGGAGAAAATGTCATGTTGTTTGAGGTACTTCAAGAAAAGATCAATTCTGTCTTAGTCTTCTCTCTGAGCTGTTACCTGAGCTTTTATGTCCCTGTGTAATATCTTCCTGTCATGAATATGTTTTAGTCCTAGAGAAATCTGTACAAACCATCCGAGGATCTATAGAGAGAACACAAAACAAAGCCACTGAATAGCCTGGTAGTCACTGAAATGTCTTCATGGTAACATGCAAAAAGAAAGAAATTATACACACACACACACACACACACACATATATAGTGTATGTGTATTTATAGGAATGAAGTTAATAGGTATACTTTATCATATTATTATTTTCATTTTACAACTAAAACAATGGAGGCACAGAAAAGTAATCCAAATATCACTGGTATCAAATGAATTCCACACGCAGAAAAAGATAAGTAGGGGCAACGGAAAGACACATGTGTTCATGATTTTCTTTTTTTCTTACTTAACCCTGGGGTGCTAACTGCATCGTAAATAGTACACAAGTAGCCCTGTTTCCTGATAACCTGGGAGCCATTGGTTCTTCCTTTACGGTGGAAGGAGGGTGCCAAGGGTGGGGAGAGAAAGAGGAAGAAATGAGGGATCTGTGAGGTTGTTAGGAATTGTAATAAAATATCAATATATCTAATATAAAACCAACAAATACTTTACTTTTAAAGTTTAATTTTATTTCTAAGTCATGATTTTATTTTATCTTTGTTGACCATGAGCCTCTTTCTGAAAATGTGTTCTATGCCTACAGAAATTTATTTAAACTATTCTAAAATTTCACTGGTTCTTTGTCTGCCAAATTATACAGAAAGAGGAAAATAATAGGAATAAAGCCATATTCCAGACATTAATATTCGGTTGTAATTTTAGTTCATTCCCAACAAAAAGAAATGTAACTCAAAATTTTGTCAAGAGAAGCATTTTTATAAAATGTGGCAAAATAATACCTAGATAAGAAAAAAGAGTTTCTATGAATATGGAATTTAATATATAATATAAATGAGCATACAAAAAATGCTTGATTAATCTTACAGAAGTTAGAAATATTGATTCTTCAATCCTTCATATATTCAAAACATTAAACTTTAGGAGGAAATTATATGGGCATGAGGCTCCCAAATGCTAAAATAGAACAAAGAAACAAATGGCCAAAGGAAAAATGGTGGGCCTTTCCTGTGTGCTTCCTGAGGCAATGGCCTTACCAGCAATCATATAGGCGCTAATTCAGATTCCTCTCCACACACACAAACCTGTCTCCTTCATGAGTACCACTCCCAAGAGGGTTCCAAGGAGGCTTGGAGTATAGAAGAGAAATACATTTGTGCAAAGAGAAAGTGGGAGAGGCCATTATTCTTCATCTTTTATCTCCCCCTCTTAGTAACTAATGAAACTAAACAGGCATTGCCAAGAGAAGCTTCTATCCTCCCTAGCAAAGTGGGATATCTACTTTAAAACATAGCACCAAATGGTGAAAGAGAAAACAGTGAAGCTATAAACATGTCACATGTTAAATGGCTAAGGAACACTCACATTCAGGTTTTTATTTAACCATGAAGATTTATCTCAGAGGCATCCTACACGAGATTGTCCAAACAGACTATCTTTTCTCAAGAAAATCTCACTCTAAAAAACAATTCAGTTTAAGTTCAATTGCAAACTTGTTCTACTGAATCTACCAAGAATATTGATCCACTATTTTATGGTTTGAATTTCTCTACCAAAACACATGCTTTATATCAACATAGTCTACTACTTATGACACTATAAATTTAATTCTCTCCCCACCACACATACATAAAATTAAAAGGCAAATTAGAAGTTTTTACCTGATCTTCACTAAATAACACACCCCGTTGTCTATTGATCCTTTTCATGAGATCCCCTCCATCACAATATTCCATTACAATAAACAGCCTGCCGTTCTCTGTAAGAAAAGGAATCATTTGGCGCTGGAAGGATTTCAGATATTTATCAGTCATGTTCTGGCTGTGGAATCAAAATGGACTGGGTTCTAATTCCACTATACCATTTATATTTCTTAGCTCTGTGACTCTGGGCAAGTCACTTTAACTTCTCTGTGCCTCATTACCTCATCTGTAAAATGGAAATAATATTATAGAAATTTGTTCTTCAGATTGTTGGAAAGATTAAATGAGTTAATCCCTGTCAGATGCTTAGAATAATGCCTGTAGATAATAAGAGTTTAAGAAATGTTGGCTATTTGTATTAATACATTCCTTTGAGAGATTAGAAATCTGCTATAAAAATAGCAGCTGTAACTCTTTCCTAACACCCCAGGAAGAATTAATAGCCCCTTCTTGAATTTGGGCATAAAGCCATATTTATACGGCACTTATTCATCTACGTTGTTGAATACAATAGAAACTCTTATAACTGACCTCTGCCTAAACCACTCACTAGATTACAGGACACTCTCCATTGCTATTGTCCCATCAAGGTTACCACTAGTTACTACTAGGCTCTCTAGTATGTCCAAGTACCTCTGCTCCTACCAATTGAACTGAATCTTACCAAGATCATTGTGTTTCTTCCCAGATATGTTTATTCCATTTACTCTTGTCTTTATAACAGACACTGATGAAATACGAATAGAAAATGAAAGATGTGATATTTTCCAAAAGCTATGCTGAATATTTTGGAGGACTCAGTAAAAGTGAGCAGTTTTTAAAAAAATAGCTATTGACCTAAATGTTGATGGGATGAATGAAATATAACTGGAAAACTTCTAAAAGGATTGTGTACAGACTATCCACAAATTCTTGCTCCACATTAAAGAAAAGAAACTAAAAGTTCTAAATAAGAAGCATACCTTACGTAAGAAAGAAAATTCAGAACGATAGTCAGTGGACTCATAATCTACCAACTATAGTTCTGAATTTTCTTGAACTGTAGTGAGTTATTCTTGTCTTTACATAAACTGATGAAATATGAATAGAAAATGAAAGATGTGATTATTTCTCCAAAAGCTATCCTGAATATTTTGGAGGACTCAGTAAAAGTGAGTTTAATAAATAAATAAATAAATAAATAAATAAATAACCATTGACCTAAACGTTGAATGAAATGAATGAAATACAACTAGAAAATTTCTAAAAGGATTGTGGACAGATTATCCACAAACACTGGCTCCATATTAAAGAAAAGAAACTATCCTTTGACAAATGCTTGTAATTTCCTTAAAATTTTTTTCTTTTTTTTTTTTTCTGGCCATTTCCACTCAAAGCATGGTTATGTCTTCTTATGTTAAAATATGTTTGCGTAACTGCTAGGATCTAAATATCTTTGTCTTCCCCAAATGTGTATGTTGAAATTCTAGCCCCCACGGTGATGGTATTAGGAGGTATAGGGCTTTTGGAAGGTGACTAGGTCATGAGGGTGAAGCCCACATGAATGGACTGCTGTCCAAGAGAGAACCCTCTCCGCTTCCACCATGTGAAGTCACAATGAGGCGAACCATCTATGAACCAGAAAGTGAACCCTCAGCAGACAGTGAATCTGCCTGCACCTTGATCTTGTACTTCTCAGCCTCCAGAACTGTGAGAAATAAATTTCTGCTGTTTATAAGCCACTCCGTTTATGGTATTTTGTTATAGCTGCTGGAATAGACTTATAGCTGCTAGAATAGACTAAAACAGATGATTTTCCGCTTTAACCAGCTTTCTTAATTAGCCCACCAACTACCAGCTGGGATCTTGTTAGAAAAGAAGGATTTCTACTCACTTGTTTGTCTACACTTCATTCTTTTGTATCTAAAACAGTAGTTAGCACATCAAAGGGGCTTAAATGTTTGTTGAGTGGATTCATTAAAAACAAACAAACAACAATAACAAAAACAAACAAACAAACAAAACAACCCCCGAAGGAACACAAAACATACAAAAACATACATGCCAAAATCAGGCTTATAAGCAATTGTTAACATTTTCCCCTGTAGTCCCTACTAAATGCCAAGCTCTCTTGCCAAATCTTTTGCTCTTCTACTCTTTAAAGTACCCTAACCAACTTACTGTGGATATCAGTAACCTGGCAGTGTCTACCTTGGTTGCTTCTAATTCACAAACCATGCATCTTCTTTCACATATTTCAATTTTTCCACCTCTCTTCTTTAAGAGACAGATCCATTCATTTATTAACAAACTTCTATTGAGGACATGCAAAAGCAAGGAATGCTGTGTAGGAATAAAAAACAAATAAGCCATCCATTCTACTGTTAAAGAGGCAAAGTCTAGTTGGGGAGTCCCTCAGCATTGGGTGAGAAGTGCTGTGAAGAAGACTGTAGGCTGGAGGGTGAGGAGAAAGTGCCTGCAAGTCAAACTGGAGATCCAGGAAGGGTTCTGAGAAGATGCTTCCTGATATGCCCTAATATCTAGAGATCGGTTATTTTCAGGAATGTGTTACTTTTAGGAGAATTGATGTTTCTTATCATTGAAGCTCAGTCATTAAAAGGTCTGCCACAGCAATGAAGGGATGGCAATTTCAAAACCATGGAAGAATCAGAATAATGAAACAGAGGAGAAAAGATTTCATCTCACTTCCTCTTCACCAACCTCCAACTCACTCAACCTTTCACTGGCTTTTGGTGAAAGAAACTGACTGACTCAAAATTCATCATGACAGAGGTATCTTAAAGAAACTACTGGCCGGGTGCAGTGGCTTATGCCTGTAACCCCAGCACTTTGGGAGGCCGAGGTGGGTGGATCACCTGAGGTCAGGAATTTGAGACCAGCCTGGCCAACATAGTGAAACCCCATCTCTACTAAAAATACAAAAATTAGCCAGGTGTGGTGGCGGGCACCTGTAATCCCAGCTACTCAGGAGACTGAGGCAGGAGAATTGCTTGAACCCAGGAGGTGGAAGTGCAGTGAGCCAAGATTGTGCCATTGCACTCCAGCCTGGGTGACAGAGTGAGACTCTGTCTCAAAAAAAAAAAAAAAAAAAAATAATTAACGTCAATTAGCATTATCTCTGACTGTAAAATAAGGATTTTCCCCATTAGCCACTGTTAATTTTATATTTATTGGAAATGTCTGGAAAAATCATTTATGCTCTCAAATTTTCCATCTGCTGTAAAGCTCATGGATCACCGACACTTCAAAACAATTGGGGGGCACTAAATAACCTTTTTATTTGTCAAGTTCCAACATTTATTAAACAATTATTCTAATTCATTCTAAAATGCACTTTTAAAAAATCAAGGGCTTGGCACAGTGGCTCTCGCCTGTAATCCCAGCATTTTGGGAGGCCAAGGCTGACGCAGGTGGATTGCTTGAACTCAGGTGTTTGAGACCAGCCTGGGCAACATGGCAAAACTCTGGCTCTATAAAGAAAAAAAAATACAAAAATTAGCCAGGTGTGGGGGTGCATGCCTGTAATCCCAGTACGCAGGAGACTGAGGTGGGAGGGCCACTTAAGCCCAGAAGGTCAAGGCTGCAGTGAGCTGTAATGGTACCACTGCACTCCAGCCTGGGCAACAGAATGAGACTCTGTCTCAAAAAAAAAATAAAATCAAGATTGTTTCTTACAGACCTTGGCGTCTTCCAATCACTTGCTGTAGACCTGGCAGGCTTAATGTTTTCACTGCCTAAATAATTTTTAGAATACCTTAACCAACTTTGTTTGCTCATATTTTCTTTTTTATGTGTGCATAAGAGTAATATAAAAT